TTAATGAGTTGTGAACATAAGAAAAAAAAGATGGAAAATAAAATGTGGGTTTAATTGAATGATAGGTTATTTTTAAGTTTAATAAATGGTGGTTTGCTGTTGGGAGTTAAATGAGATGGACTGAGTACTGACCAGTGACTGAGAAAGCACTAAAATATGAGGACATAAATGAAAAGAAAATGAACTCACAATGAGTTTTGTCATTGAAGAGAGTATGGGCTGTGGGAGGAATTTGGAAATTGTTCAAAAAATGATTTATACCAACCCAAAAAATATCTAAGCTGAATGTATTTAATTTTTCCCATAACTAGGACTGTCTTACTACAGATTTCCTTATGATTGTGCTTATGATTGTAGAAAACTATGGAACTACTGAAATTAAAATCTGTAAATCAAATTACATAACTTAGGGGGTGAGTTTTTTTTTTTTTCGAAACGATAGGAGATTCATTCCACAAATAACAATGTTTTACAGCCCGTGAGACTAAATAGTCCCATTACAAAACAAACGAGGAGAACCGTATTGAAACGACCTAGAAATAAGTTGATCTAAAATATCTGAAAGCAAGTGCAGCACTAATCCTTTCAAGATTTGAAAACAATCCAGAAACAAAAAATATACACCCAAATGAATATAAGAAAACATAGAACCACTGAACCCCGCAAGGACCTAGTTCTGTTCCTTATTAATAAGTTCATGATCTCCTTGCATTCTTGAATTCCATCAAATCTCTGCATGCTGATCTCACCACTTCCATTTCCGTCGTCAAAGTTTGTTGAAATTTTCACAAGTTCCTAGACTTCTAGAGCCACCACAAAATGTGGGTGGACAACTGGAGTCTTTCATCAGAAATTTGCTTTTTTGTTCATAGAGCAAGCTCTCCACTACCAATCTTTAAAATTTCCATTGCTGGTGCTCAGTCCCTCTCAATCAAGTGGTGACAGTTTCCATACAAGTTGTTCTCTAGGACAAGAGTAACAAGTTTTGACTGAATGCCTTTTTCTTTACGCTCTTTTCCATTAAATAGTAATTTGTGTACAATCTATCTTAGGTAACCTACTAATCTAGCTCTTAGTCTACCGTCTTATTTACTCCTAAAACATAACTCTGAATATTTACAATTAATGGTCAGCCATAAGTTACTCTTTTACAATTAAAGGTCAACCATAAGTTACTCCTTTAAAATTAAGGGTCAGCCATAAGTTACTCCATAATTTCTGCCTTGTTATCCCCCCTCAAATTGATGTTGGATGGTCAAGAAGCATCAATTTGTCAACTAGGAACTGATGTCGATTTGAAGAAAGTGCTTTAGTAAACACATCTGCAGTTTGAAGAGCTATGGGGATATGTGGAAAAGAGATGATAGAATCATCGTATGCTTCACGAATAGAATGGCAATCTACCTCGATATGCTTAGTGCGTTCATGAAACACCGTATTAGAAACTCAATAAGTGATGATTCTTCTGTTCAGCTATCCCATTTTGTTGGGGGGTATAAGGGCATGAACGCTGAGACATGATACATTTTTGCTGTAAAAACGATTGAAACTCATGTGATGTATATTCATCACCATTATCCGAGCGAAGTACCTTGATAAAAGTCAGAAATTGCCTCTCAACACAAGCCAGAAAAGTTTGGAAAGTATTCAACACCTCAGATTTTGTGCGCAGAAAGTATATCAATGTGAAACGACTATAGCCATCTATAAACATCACAAAATATTTATACTGAGCATGTGAAGTAACAGGTGTAATGCCCCAAACATCAGAATGTACTAGATCAAAGCATCTATCTGCACAACTTCCATCAGTAGGAAAAGGTAAAATCTTACTCTTCCCTAGTTTGCAAGTAGAACAACCATTAGAAAAACCAGAATTTAGACACTTATCCTTGGAACCAAGAAAACCTTGTTTCATTAAATGAGATAAAATTACATCATTTGGGTGGCCTAATAGTTTATGCCAGCTTTCAGCCTTATTATCAACTACCATAAAAGCTAAACATAAAGCTTGCGGAGTAGTAAACTGTAATGGAAATAATCTTCCAACTTTAGGCCCCTTCGCTATCACTTTCCCCGACACTTGATCCTGCACAAGACAACCATTTCGAGAAAAATGCACTTCACAGTCATCATCCACCAATTGTCCAACAGAAATCAAGTTATTGGATAATTCAGGCGAGACAAACTCATCACGAAAAGAAGGACCAATATCACTTATGGCTGTTATTGGAATGTTATTGCCATTAGCAACCTGAATATTTTGTGTGCCAGTATACTTCTGAAGGTCATGTAGAAGCTTAGGAGAACCATTCATATGATTAGATGCTGCAAAATCAGAAAACCAGGTAGAAGAGACCATGTTACTTTGACAGTGGAGTCCAAGAGCAGAAAATGCAGTACAAATCATTTGTTGGACCATTTCTGGAGTCATAATAGGTTGATTTGTGATAGTTGCTGCAGAACCAAGAACTTGAGAACCTGAAACAGTAGCTTGAAAGGCTTGTGCTTTTCGATTTTCTGGCCTTGTTGGACACTCTTTAATGATGTGTCCATTTTGCTTGCAATAGTTGCAAAATTTTTTGGTACAGTTGCGTGCTATGTGTCCCATCTTTTGCAACTGTAGCACTGAACGAAACCATTTCCTCGATTCTTCGCTTGAGCAGCAAAAACAACATTGAGAACATGAAATGTTTCTTTGACCCCCCCTCCCCCCATGATAGCAAGAGTAGCGAATCGTTGTTCCTCACGAAGTAGTTAACCAAGACAAACATCTAATGTTGTTGTTGGACTTCGATTCAATAAACTTGCCCTGGCACTCTCAAATTCTGGTCTCAGTTTCATCAAAAATTGATCACGCTTGCTCACTTCATGAACCTCTTGAAGGCTTGTCAAGACCTCATTAGATACCCTGAAATAGAGAATATCAGAATATTCACTCCAAAGATTTATAAAACCAGAATAATACTGATCAATGGAAAGATTGCCTTGGCTAAAATTGTTGATGTCGAGTTCAAGTTGAGATCACCGAGCAGTATTTTCTTGATTGTATACACGTTTCAAGAAATCCCACATTTGTTTAGCTGTACGAAATGATCGTAGGCTGTTGACCATATGACTTTCAATGGATGTTAGAATCCAAGAAATAATTTTGGCATCCTTACTCTTCCATTGACTGAGTTCCCTAGCTTCTTTAGGATGAGAAGATGTTCCATCAATGTGATTCCAGAGTTCCTTTCCTTTCAGAAACATTCTAAACTGAAATTCCCAAGCACCATAGTTTTTCCCCGTAAATTTGAAACTCAAAGTCTCTGCAGGCAGTTTTCCGACATGATCTGCAGCAGACATTCTGACTAGAAGATAGCTTTTATCTTGTCCCAAAAAAAAAATATTCAACCACTATGTGATTGACCCAAAATTCCCAACGAAGTTGTTAATAAAAAAATATGATTAACCAAAATCTCTAAAAATTTCCCAAAAAGAAAAAAAACAAAGTGGCTCTTATACCATAACAAGTTTTGACTGAATGCCTTTTTTCTTAGGCTCTTTTCCATTAAATAGTAATTTGTGTACAATCTATCTTAGGTAATCTGCTAATCTAGCTCCTAGTCTACCGCTTTATTTACTCCTAAAACATAACTCTGAATATTTACAAATAATGGTCAGCCATAAGTTACTATTTTTCAATTAAAGGCCAACCATAAGTTGCTCCTTTATAATTAAGGGCCAACCATAAGTTACTACATAATTTCTCCCTTATTAAAGAGAATTGGAGATGCTCCAAACATTCTTCTGTCTCCCCACAGGAACAGCACATAGGGTCAATTAGCATTCCTCTACTGTGCAAATTTTGGCTGACTGGTAATGTATCAGTATAACATTTCCATAAGAAATGCCGGAGCTTCCCTTTGACATTAAGTTTCCAACTTCTTTTTCTAACCTCCTTGCTGGCAGTAGAATCTGAGCTGCTCTCAGTGTTGGTGTTATATACTTAAGCTTTGCTTTAGTGGATATTACACTTGTTATTCCTTGATGAATGAGAATTATGTTTGGTTAAATAAGTTCCACGTTCTGTTGTTTTGCATGTAGATAAGTGGGTCGTCATCGGGCGTACCGAAGATCACTATATCAGTTACTTGCGAAACAAGAATCATTGGTTCACAACCTAGATGGAATTGAACAACCCATCGGAACGGTTATAGTGTCAACCGTACTGTTTTTCTTGACCGATTAGTTGCACTAGTACATTTAT